CTCCTTCTGGGAAGGGGCGGGTCACAAGCCTTTGCTCGTAGGGCTGGATAACAGTTTGTGTGTTTGCTGGAAAGGTGTTTTTTTTGCCCCGTTCTTGGCTTTGCTCTTCCGAGCTGCGGCTCTGTGGCTCTGGGGTTTGCGTCTCTCCAATTTGGGAGCTGTGAAAAGGATGGGCCCAATCAAAGCATTGTCTGGGGTGTCTTCGGGGTCACGTCACCCCTGTGGCCGTTGGCCCTGGGCCGGGGCGCTGGTGTGGACAGAGCCCGCACCTCCGGTGGGTGTTTAGCTTGCTACAGTTGCCCGCGTGTGTTCCTGCCGCTGCCGGGGACCACGAGCATGCGCACCGATGCCCTCTGCCTTTCCATCTGGTTCCATTTCACCCTGGGGAGGGGCTGCCTCTGCCTTGGAGCTCCAGCCGGAACCCCCCCCTCCTCCTGCCTGCTGGGGGCTGGGGCGGACTCGGACCAGGTTCCTCTCTCGTGACCGACAGCGTGTTTTCGATTCAGTGCAGACGATTCTGCCTGGACTCTGGGCGTGCAGCACGTGGGCCCCACAGTGTTTGTCCCCCTCGCTAGGGACGCTGTGGGGGTTCTCCAGGCTCCAGCTCTGTCACCAGCGGCCACTGGGACTGGAGGGTGACTGCGGGTGCTGGAGGGAGGGGAAGGAAGTCATTTCCGTTATTTCATAGTTGAAGAAACTGACTGGTGTGTGTGTTTCAAAAAAAGAGACTTTGCTTTTTCTGTGTCTTTTCGTCACGGGCAGAGCTGGGGAGAAAGCCCCAGTCCCCCATCCGGCCAGTGACGGGGATGGTACGTACTACCCCCGGGGACGCTGATGTCTGCAGACATTTCGTGGCTGTCACGTTATTAGGGCTCCCGCCATGTGGTGCCTGGGGACCAGGGACGCCACTCAGCAACCTGTGGTGCCCAGAACAGCGGCCACACAGGGAGTTAGTTACCTGGCCCCGAATGTCCACGCTGCCCAGGTCAACAGGCGGAGGGCGTGCGGTGGGCCTGGTGGCCGCGTGCATGCCAAACCTTTGGGTGTTGAATCCGGCCTAGTAACTGTCAGCATTAATCCTTGTCTGGTTTAAGAGTTCTGTTGTGGTTTTGTTTGTCGTCACTGGCCCTGTGTCCTGGGGGTATTGAGATGGGATAGTCAGATGAGATCTCTACCACCAGACTTCACAGTGTCCCCAGTCAGGAATCGCCTTGGGGCACATCAGCTATGCCCGCCCCCAGGAACGTGGGTTCCTTGGGAGAAGAGCATCTTGGGTATTCTCTGGAAGAGTCTTGACACAGGAAAGCAGACTTCTTCTCCCCATCGTGGGCTCCGCTGCCCGCTTTCGTCCCGACCACTTTTGGGGCCGTATTCTCGGTGCCCTCCCTGGAGGGGTGGGGTGGGTGGGGTCCTGTCGGCCGGGCGAGCCCGGCATCCCGCCCCTCCCTGCAGGTGGGCAGTGCGGAGTCCTGAGTCTGAACAGATCCCATTTCTTTCAGGGAGGGTCTGTGTGCAGGGTGGTGTAATAAGTGCTTTACTGGTGACTGGCACCTCGGGAAGAAGGTGCCAGGGACAAGAGCAGAGGGCGGTGTCTGTGGCTCGGCCCCAGGAACGGCCGGCCCGTGAGTCCCAGCGATGGGGAGCTAACGGGGGCAGCCTGGAGAGGGGCTCCCTTGAACCGAAGGCATCTGTCGGGACAAGACACCTTGCTTCTCGTGACACCC